CAATAAATACATGTATCCTAATCCATAACAATGTGATTTAAAAAGGGAATCATTATCTGTAGTTTGGGAACATTTGTAGAGATTTCGTCAGACTCATAAAAAAAATAAAACAAGCAACAAAAAAAAACTAAATATCACCTGACGATGTTCAAATTGTTGAGGTTCCCTTATCTAAATTAATCAGTTATAACTAAGAAAAAGATTTTCCCTGCTTATTTTTTTCAGTTGTACTTTTTTCTGATTAGGGTTAGGGTTCCAAAACCTAGTCTGACAGAGTAATAATTCAGCTACAAACAAACCTATGGGTAAGCATGGCTAGTTAACACAATGAATACATTCTTACTGAATAAGAAAACTCTGTGCTATCTCTCCTCATTTCATACTACTACCTTTTGGCAGCCAGCAGCTACAAGTTAGAACACATGACAGAACATCCAAAGAAAAAAGAAAACTCATTTTATAGCTGATTGTGTAGAAGAAAGCTCCTTCCCAAACTGACATAATTGAAAATTGTCTTCTCTGTGAGTCATACAATTTGAAGGTAAATGATTCATCCAGAGAGTAGTAACTGCATGCATACTTTCAGTAAAATTAATCTAATTCAATCAAAGGATTTGTAAAGAAACAATGACTGTGTCTTTTTTGCATTTCTGTCCAAGTAAATAGATAGATACTCTAATCCTATACATAACAACATATCAAAGCGCTATCTGTGTGGCCAGTGGTGTACAACGTGACATTAGCCCTCACTTGACCTTGTAAATTCAGCTTTGCATATTAGTGACCCTCCTAAAGACATGAATTATTTATAGAACATGCAAATATACTTTGCACCCATTGTGGTGCATTTTTAGAACATAACCGTGGTATGTTCCATCTACACCCACACAAACAGCAAATATTGGCATTACAAACAGTACAGACAAAGAAAAAGCCAAAAAACAATTCTTCCTCCTTAGACTCTCCTTCCCCTTTTTTCCTCGACTTGTTAGCCATCCTCCAGTCATCACCTCCACATCCATCATAATTCTTTTGCTCCTCATTCACATTTCCAGTGTCACTTAGATTACTGCATCCTGGCAAAAGCGTTTGTATTCCATTCATCCTGGCTTGTTTTCCTGGCGTGCATTTCGCAACCGCTTTGATGCTTTTGTTTTTAAATCAGGAACGAGATCTTGTTCTCGCTAAATCCCTGACATTCCAAATTCTGCAGCTGCGATGAACCCCCTGAAGGATGCTTTAACATGAGGGAGATTATGCACTCTAAACAAACAGACACATCAGCTATACAAGCAACCAGCAGGAGGCCTTGGCCAACTAAAACGTGCGATATGAGCATACATTTCAAACACAGCTGCAAAAAGAGACCATTGTTTCCTTCATCTTTCGCTACATATCCCCCCAATAAAAAGAATGTAAGTTGATTATTTTCAACTTACATAAAACTATTTTTATTTAATTTTTTTATTGCATAGATACAATTTATTTAAAAATGGAAGCACCGACCAAAGTAAAACTAAAAGCTACTGAAAATATTGAAGTCACCAGGGTGCTGATCGTAAAATATATTCCACGAGCTGCCACCTAAATTAAAACAGCATTTGAACAGCAGAGTCTCCACATTGAAAGTACAAAATAAATCTTTAAACTGTCTTTGTTGTCTTCAGTCTGTCAGTTGTTAGCCTCAGATGAACAATATACCAGTACCCGACCGGCACACACACACACACACACACACACCCAAATACTACTTTGTCACTTCAGATGACCCTCCAAGGTAACGCTGGGTAGCACTGTGTCTGTCAGCCGAAGCTGAGCAAAGAAAACCCAACCAATGAGTGATCAGTGAGATGATAATCCGCCAAAGCCAGAGAATGTAGCAGCAAAGTCAGCAGGTCAACAGATTACTGTGTACAAATAAAATATGCGTGGATGTTTACAGTATTTGTTTAGAGAGGGAGGGGGAAAGACACACACAGGGCTGAGTGGGTCAGATGAAGAATAAAAGATAGAGCTTTTAACATATCTTATGATATATTTAGTTATTATTTACTGGACATAATTCACTTCATTAATGTTACGATTGAAGATGACTAAGAAGTGTTCTGCGACAGAACATCAACACCCTCCACAGACAGTTTAGAAAGCACAAAGTATGGCCCCACTCTGCACAAGGAAAGACTTCCACTGACCGGCAAGGGAAACGGTTCTCTACTATTCTGTTTTGTGGAATGATGTGCCCTGCTCTGCCCTCCCCCTCCCTGGAATGTGTGATAACAAACATAGATTTGTTAATCTGCCTTATGCACAAAAGCTAGGACTGTGGCACACTGCTGAGCAGCACAAACGACTGCAACTTTTCCCAAACTTGCAGTATTTTCAGACAAGAGAGTTCCACAGTCTCAGGGGAGCCTAAAGTCACAAGGCAAACAATACAGATGCAGAGCTTTACAGCGCAGACGGCAGCAGAAGTAGCCAAGGCCCGAATCCCCCACTCCCCCTCATTCTCACTCGAGTGCTTTCTGCTCTCTTTCTTTCCTCTCCTCCACTACCCCTTGTTCTTTCCACATACTGGGTCATTCAAGATTCTGCACTGCAGCACATTTGAGTGATGTTGCAAAAGGTTTTTCATGATTTCAGGAAACAAGACCCTGTGCCTTCATAAGTTTTTCCACCTTTTTCGACCTGTATCTCAACCTTCTCTGTTTATCTATCATAAATTGTCATATTCTGGAACAGAAGCTTGAATAGTATGCTACAACACTTACAATTAGTTCTCTGCAGAGGATAACATTCAGCACAGTGCAAATTATCAAACTGGTAGACTATACAACACAGAGGAGAGAATAAGTGCTCCATTCAGGAAGAAATAGGGCTTTGGCCAAGCTCACTGCAATGATTAAAGTGGAGCACTTTATGACACGGCAAAGAAGTCCAGAAATTAGTTGAGCCAACAAAATGGACAAATAAACGTGTAAAGAAATACAGAGGAAGGATGTGTTCATTATGTCACATCACCCACATTTACACACTGATGCACAAAAAAAGGAGGGTGTCTCTATGTGCACAGCACCTGCAACACTCTGCAGCTTCAGCAAAATGGTCAGAAGCAGGCTGGCTTTTTCAGCAAGCCAGAGATAATTCGCCATTTCCCTCTCTATACAGAAAATCACACCACATCCAAAGACACTGCTAACAGTAGGTGCTCACAAATATGTTTAGCTGTCCGCTTAACTCTGTTTTTGGACTCATTTTCTGTTACTTGGACCATGATAGCTTCTTTCAAAGATAAAAAGTAAAGAAAAAGTGGAATTCTTTCTTCAAGAGTCCCATCCTGTATTATCCCTTACTGATGTCTCAAATTATTTTACAATTTCCTGAGCCTGCTTGTTTGTGTTTCCCTCCAACAATAATACCTTTAAACCAATACTGTCTTCTTTTTTTTGTCATTTCGTTATCTTTCAAATTTGCTCACTTAATTAATGGTGGGGCATTGAGTCTATTTGGGCTCTTCAAACCCACATAAGGAATCAACAACAATACTTAACATGCAAACACACAACAGAAAAGACCAAGACATGTGGAGAATTAACTTTTCAGAAGAAATATAGAAAAATGCACGTCATGATGGCACCCACATATTTCTTTTATAGAGTCTGAACCCCACCTCACTAAACAAAAACAGCAACAACAAAAAAACTCCTCATGTCAAATATAGTCTCCATTATGAGCTATTGAAATCAAACAGCTGATACACTGTATTAGCATGTGCTGATAATCTGTCATAGTATTGCATTCAGCATTCAGTAATTAATGTCTGCAGGAAAAATGTGCCAATCATTTGTGCAGTTTAACTTCACTCTAGAAAAAATAACTATCTTTAGAAACAATTACAGGCAGAACATTCAAAGCACTGCTTTGTAGTGTCATTGTGCTCTTAGAGTTAGCCTACCTTTATCTGTTTAATGTGAGCTACCCAACAGGGACCATCAATTTGGCACATAAACACCATATTTATAGCACAGAAAGGCGTTTTATACCAATTTCTTTTGAATAATACATTATAAAATGATTGGTTGTGCAATCAAACCAAACAAATCACATTTTGCCCTTTAATTGACCTATGAATAAAAACAAATAAAATATCGGGCATCATCTATTACAAGCTGATTTAGGTTTACTTAAAAGTGTTATGAATCTTAAAGGGATCAACTGAACTGTACATAAAACTGCAAAAGCCTACAGGCAGATGTTAGGACACAAAACTTTGAGAACGAGACAGAGGCAAAAAGACAATAAAGCAAAGTGAAACAAACAGACAAGGAAGCTCCAGATACAGAAATGCCAAATTAAGGAAACGGAAGATCCACATTGCATTTACCGTGCAGATGTCTTCATGTGAGATGACAGGAAGGGTAATTCCACTGAAAATTCTAAACATCACTGATATGAAAGAGTTTCAAGATTTGAAGAATTTGAGTAATTGTACATTTCACACACACAATTCGAAACATTTCACCACCTTTCAGGCCTTCAGTTGACTTTATCCAACATTTCAGCAAATTATGAAATCACTCTAAGATGTTAGTTATGATAAGGAGAGGTTTTATTTGTATAAAACCATTAAGCATGGGCAGGGTGGGACAAAGCCCACCACTCATTTGTGCATTTTGATGGTATGTAGCTTATGGGGTGGTGAATTTAGCCAATGTATTGACTAAAGCCAAATCAACTATGATCTCAAACTTTATTAATCTATCAATTTTGGAGTGGGCAGAAATGGTGAGGATTGGAGAAACAGAGTAATACATTATATTTTAATCAGCCTAAGTGCACACTAAAAATGCTGACCATATAGTAACTTTTATAGTACATCTGTGAGTGTCTGCATATGCGTATGAGTACGTGTGTAGGTCATAAAGATAAAATTAAAAAATAGGAGTTAGATGAATTAAGGCAGATAAACAGTGGTACCATTTCAAGAGAAGGGAAATAAGAGCCTTGACATTATAAAACCATGCTTCCAAAGGCTTTATATGAAGGTGTCATCCACGTATTTGAGCAACAATAATTTTCAAAAAGAAAGAAACAATGAATACAACACAAGTTAAAATGTTCCATATAATCAAGCTTATAGACGCGATCACTGAAGACCAATACTAGAGATGAATGCTATACACTATCCAAGGGTGTTTGTCCTTTAACTGGGAGGAAGTGGTTGCTACATATCATTCACTTAGTGTAAGTTGACACACAAAAGTAACCATAATACCCAACTGCACTCCTAGTAATCCTATTGCAGTTAAAGCAAAGTACCTAACACTCCCAATTAAAAAAAAAACCTCAAATGCAACTTCCTCCCATAAATATTCACAATTTTTTTAACATCAAGACCTCATGATAATTTTGTCCAAGTTATAATTTCACTCCAGGAAAGAGAAAAGAGAATTGTAAAGTGATAATTAAGGAAACATAGTTACCCAATTGTTTAAACCTTTACCCTTTAATCTTTATGCTTTTTCCTGATCTTGATTCGATAGTACACCATGCTGATATAGGAGCACATGAAATAACATGAGAAACTCAATGAATCAAACCATAACTGCTGCAGAGGAGGGTGTTTGTGATCAATAACTCTCCCCAAGTACTTTCAGTGCAGAATAAAGTCAGCAGTAAACAAAAAATATTCAAAAGAAAATACATTTAAAAAATGTAAAAGCAGTTATCATCTCTCTTAGGAATATTTCTTTTTTTTTGTAAGACAATATTTTATTTAGATTAATCTTATATGATGTTCTGTTGTATTTAATAAAATATTTTATTCAATTTCTTATACATATGTAAATATAATTGAAATTCTTTAAAGAAAATGTGTTCAGTATTTTCATTAATATTTTTTTCATTATCATGTCTCTACATCAAATCAGCCAAAATGAATCTGAACACCTTTCTATCGCCCTCCGGTGGAGTGAATTCACCCAGCCATTTAAAAAGGAGGGGGAGTAATTAGATGTGCAGGTTAAGAAAAAAAAGCATTTTCCAATCACATTTTCACTCACCATCTCAATTACTGTTTATTCGCCCACATCAGCAATCCCCTGTCTAGATAATGACAATCGCAGCATGGCTCAATGATTTGGTATCGCCTATTATACTATTCACTCCAAACTCAGCAGCATTCACTTGACTTGTTCTGGTACTGGGTTTTCTTTTGGCTTCAGATTGTATCAGACTAGGACAAGCAATTTGGGGGAAAATAAAAACTGTGTTACAACATCCCAGTGGTGAAATCCAAACAGAAAAGAAACAAAAAACAAAACTAAATACCATCTCGGCTTTTTCAATCCTTTCCTTTGATTTCAATCAGATTTTATGAACCCATCTTAAAATATAAGGCTGAAATGTGTGAAGCTATTATTGCCGCCCCCTGCTTTCACTGTCAAGCATTTTTTGATTGCATATCCAGCAGCAGTATCACATAACTTCTGGTCACATCTTCAACACGCCTTTTCAGCATGGCACCGAATGCACACCCTGTCAAAACAGCGCCGCACACACTTTCCCATGGCATCAACCCTTTAATCACTTGATTCAAGAGCTTGTTTTTATTAAGAAGGCTATACCAGACGCATAATCACTATACATTGATTTAACATTACCTTTACAATTAAATTCTTCACTGAAATTACAGAATAAATATATGCACATTTTTCTTCAAATCTTTGTGAGAAAGAAAACATTAAAAGTGCCTCCTACAAAGCTGTTAGTGGGTGGAAATGGGGAATCCAGAAGCAATGAAGGAGGACGGGAGGGGGTCTTAACAAAGTGTGTGGAAATATCCAGAAAACCTTTGACATTGTCTTGTAATAATATTCACAAATGTTTTACCATCCGTGCGTCGGCGCATCCTTTTTACGAGAAGCACCCTGATATAGACAGAAGTCCTCATTAATAGTAATAACCATATTAATAAGATATAAAAAATTAAATAGAACACTGAACTGTAAATGCGTTGCAGTATCTGTTCAGAACGTGACGTGATAGTTCTGAGTAAATCCTCTCGCTTCCTGCACTGAAGCAAGTGCATGCAGCAAACTGCAGTTCGTTTTTTATTATGAGTATTTTTTCTCTCTTTTGAACGTTTCCTACAAACTTAATGAACCCAGCCTCCATGTGTTCGCACTTGCTAGTCAGGGGGAAAAGAGACGAAAAAAAAAAAAGAAAAGAAAAACAAGTCAGGGAGACGTCCGGCTCCCGTTTGTCTTCATGGTAAGTGTCATAGTTATTCCATAAAGATGACTTAGATAGATGTGAGATGCTTTGTATGTTTTATTCCCAATGCCCCTCTTGTTCCTGTTTTGCTCACTTGTGGGCATTTAGACATATTCATATATTATAAAAATAACGGTTGTTGACATTGCTGGCTACTCTGAAAAAAAGGCACTTAAGAGAATATCTGAGAATGACCTTTCCTCCAAAGTGAATTGGGGGGAAAATTGTGACTGTAATATAATATTTTCATCACTTTATATCATGCTGCTTTTTCAAGTTTCATTTTTACTATTGATTTAGAGTGATTTTGTTGTCAAGGTGGCAAAGTGATTACGTTGCCTTGTATAATTTTTTTTCCTTTGCTTAATTCCAATGGGCTAGAGTTGTTAAAACCGGTAGGATTTCTCCAAGACTTCGAGGTAATCCGGCTTGGTTTGAAGTTTGGCCCTTAACTCGAGGTAATCACTTTGGGACGGGTCAGGGTAGCAGCCTTTCCCCCCTGTGAAAAGCAGTGTCTCCTTCAGACGTGCATCCTGCTGCAAATCCGGGTACTGCATGCCTGGTGGGTGCGCATGTGCAACGTGCATGTCCTTTAGTTTGGGTACGGTCCCATATAAACAGTCTACAAAGCCCACTGTTGGTGTGGGCCTCTGACTGTCAATCACCGTAGGACAGAGCCCCCCATTCTCATGGAATCCTGCCATATCAGCCGTGGTGGGGTTGACTGTAACAATGGTGTTTAGTTGAGAGTTGGACACCGCCATGGTCCACTCTCTTTCTTTCTCCAATAAGGTTCTATAGTTACTGTTGCTGCTTCCACTGTCTTTCTTTTCTGAAAACTGTGCCCTCTCCTCCACAGCTATCTCTCCCTCTCTAGGCTTGTAGATTGGGTTGTTACACATCTGTGTCACAGGATGGGGAATGTAATCATAAACATGGCCATGAGCATGTGAGTGACTAGAGTGTGTGTGTGTGTGCATACTGGGAGTGGGCTTCTCTGGTGTGCAAATGTTCCCGGCGCTGCTTTGCCTTGGCGGGTCCTCAAAAATCCTGCATTGCATTTGGATCCCTGTGAGATCTACCTCTGACCGTTTCCTAAAGGGAAGCTTCTTCCTGCGACGAAGGACAAAGGCAAATAGCCCCGCAGCAACAAACACCGCTGAGATGAAAAGGATGAGTAGGCTGAGGATAAGGACCGACAGGGGGACCGTCCCTCTCCCACTTGCCTCCCCCAGGTCAGAGTTCCCTGTGGTCAGGTCATCCCCTCCAGGAAGAGCTGGGGAGGGGCCAGAAGAATATTTAAGCTCAGGACAGATGACCTCAATCTCGAGTGAACGCAGGTCCTTTCCAAAAGCAAACTCGGGTGTCTTGCAGATAACATCTCCAACCACAATGACAGAAGAGAGCTTTTCCAGCCACTGCTTGAGGGGAATGCTATTGCATGAACAGTCCCAAGGATTCTGATGGAGATCAATCTGAACAATGGAGGTCAGGTGCTCCAGGACACCATGCACAGGCAGGGACAGAAAGTAATTGTTTCGGAGGTTAAGACGTGCAAGGTTGGTGCCAGCAAAGGCATCAGTGGGGAGGGTGCGAAGAAGGTTGTCATTAAGGAAAACCAACTGGAGATTTGGCATTAGGGAGAAACAATGAGGGTGGATTTCGCGTATGACATTGTATTCAAAGTAAAGATAACTCAACATCTGAAGCCCCCGAAAAATCCCAGGAGTGAGGCGTTCAATATCATTCCCATTTAGATACAAACTTTTTAGGTTTGGTAAGTTGATAAAGGCGCCTTCTTGAACGTATGATATCCGATTGTTCCCTAAATGCAGTAAATCCAAACTGGAGAAGTTCCAGAAGTCTGAGCGGTAGATCTTCTGTATTAGGTTCCCACTGAGATACAATTTCTTGGCATTAAGGGGTCGTGGAAGGAGTTCAGAGATGTTGTGAAAGCCTTTCTCTTTACAGTTCACTGTCAGACCCAGATCATTGATATGAAGATTACAAATACATCCAACGGGACAAATTATCGGGATTGGGGGTCTTGTTTGGTAACCAGCGATAGGGGGCTGGTTGATGCCTGGGTAGATGCTACGAGGGGTTGGGGGGTTCTTTGTAGGCCGAGGCCGTTTGGTAGGCTTCGCAGCTCTTTCCTTATACTCCACAGAAGAGGCTGTGTTGTGAAAGGAGGAAAGCATAGAGGAAGGTTTAGTAGGCCAAGTGTTCTCATTGCTGAACGGAACCCGGGGAATTCCCAGTTTGGCCTCAATCTCTGAATCGGAGAGCAAAGGACAGAGCTCACTGCGCTTGATTTCCCGCAAGTCTTTTCCATGTAAGTGGAATGGGTACTCACATGTGATCTCACCCACCAAGGCTGTATAAGGGATTCTCTCCAGCCATGTCTTTAACTGGACAATTTCACACACACAGTTCCAAGGGTTCTCCTCCAGCTGGATTTCCATCAAGCTCCTCCCAACATACTCCAGTGTGCCCTTGTATGGTAATGTCTTTAGTCTGTTTCCTCTCAGGTCCAGATGTGTGAGGGATACCGAACGAAAAAGATAATTTGGGAGAACGGGGATCAAATTGTCATTCAGTATAAGGACTCTTAGCTTGTGGAGGAGCCTGAATGCACCACTTTCAATCCTTTTGATAACATTGTAGTCTGCCTGGAGATACTCTAAACTCTCCAAACCTAGAAACGTATCATTCCTGAAAACCTCAAGTTTGTTTTCATGCAGGAACAGCCGTTTGAGTATTCCTAAGCCATTGAATGCTCCAGCATGAATATCTTGCAAGGCGTTGTTACCCAGATTGATGGATATAGCGTTGTTGAGATGGAGGAAGCTGTTGAAATAAAGCTTCCTCATCAAGTTCCTCTGCAAATTGAGCTTGAAGGGTCGGCTCCATATCTGGGATATCTGGCTGACATTTGTAAATCCTTTACTGTCACAGTGGACGTGGAAGATGCCCTCCTTGACCTCGCAGTAACAGGGCTCAAAGCAGGGTTCATCGATCTCTTCTGAGTCTTCTAGTAGTGGGATTGGTGTGGTCCATCCTAAGGCTATGGTGCTCAGCAAGGTAACCCACAGCATCCTTGCTGACACCAAGGGGATGAAGTGTTGGCTCCAGGGACAGAGCCACTTCACAGCACTGCAACAGAAACAGAGAAAGAGAAAGACAAAGCAAGGGTGTGTGGGAAAGAGGGAGAGGAGGCATGAGGGGGTAATTATACACACAAAGGTACACACACACCCTCACAAAGAGAGGTTTAAGGTGACAAAGGTAGGAAGAGAGGAGAGAGAAAGGAAGAAGGGTGCATTAGTTTCAATAGAATGGAAGGCAGCTTTGAAATGAACACCAATAAATAATAGAATGCCATTGGAGACCACTTCAGATTCTGCAATATTGCTGGGTATTTCAAGCAAAATATAAAACAAGGACTCTTGAATTGATAATATGATACCCAGCTACAAATACAAATCTCTGCACTCAGTGAGTTAACTAAACTATGTAGGCAGAAAAGCCATTTATTATCCAGCAGATGTGCTGGTAAGGTCACAATAAATCATAGTAGAGATGCTTATTGCCATGAATAAATGAAGGCAAAGGTAGGCCAGTAAGGTTAGCAGTGAGGAGACACTGTCCTTTCCCTACAGTTATTACATAACAGGGACTTCAACCCCTCTTTTGTGATATGCATTGGAGTAGCTGAAAAAGGAAACGCGATACTAGGTGCAAGAGGCTTTAACACAAGATGTTGAAAGATCCTGATAATGTAAAAGTAATAGAATAATGTGGAAATATTTGATGATCTGGCTCATCCCTTTCTCCATCAGTCAGTTTTATTGCATTTCTGTATCCATATCATACGTCTAATATTATATAGCAAATGTGTAGACCTGTCGTATAAAAACTTTGCTCATATTGCTGTAGTTGTGGAAAGGCTTGAATTAATGAAATGTAAATGAATTTGTAGAATGATTCGAAAAGAAAAAAATATCCAATAGGTCCAATAAGTCCACTGTGCAAAAACGAGACTGGGAGTGAAATGACTCCATATGCTTTTATGCAGAATGTATCAAGAAACTGTTGGCTAATTATCTGTACACGCTAAGTTTATTGAACGTACGTTCTAATGTTTTATTTCAGTTTTTCCCCTTTTTGACAAGATGATTCTGTGGTAGGATTCGAGGAAACGAGAGCACAAGTAAAAACCGTTTTGAAAAGGAGAGTTTTGGACCAATGTTTTCCTGGAAGCAAAAAAACAAACAACAAAAAAAAAAAGCAATAATGCTAACTATGATAATGACAATTGAAAAAAGAAAAAAACATTTGATCCTCTAAACAGATTTGATATTTCTTCAATATTTCTTTCCACTCCGTTGTGCATCTCACTCCATCGTTTTCGTCTTCCTTCTATTTTCTCTCTTTTGCGCGCCCGCACACACATAGCCTCGGAGGTTTTTTTTTTTTCTTCCTCTTTTTTTTAATTGCCTGATTAAATGAAGGTGCTCAAAAATCCAAACGTGAGCGCGAGAACGTCCGTCGGAGCGGAGCCGCTGTCCGTGGTGCTGAAAAACAAAACCTCCGCCACAGAAGCAGAGTGGAAGCAAAACGGAAAATGTGTTGTAATCCAGTTAAAAAGACGAAACTGTCGAAACAGTATTAAGGGAGAAAATTTATCAATAAAAAAAAAAATCAAAGTTCAAGGCACACCATCTTCTTGTAAAAAAAAAAAAAAAGAAAGAGAAAAATCACTGCTCTCATCCCTCTCCGAGTGCAGTCCACCAGGATTTATTGATTCCACCTCCATGTTAGAGATTTACAAAAGCCCCGATGCAACGTCAAAGGAGAGACCAAAAAGGTAATAGAATTTGAAGATACTGAAAATATGACGTGGTTAATTAATCCGTGAAGATGTTTCGGATGTATGTTGAATACGTACTTAGTTTAACGCGATTCCAACTTCACATATCCTCCTGCGATGTCTGCTGCTGCCCGGTGCGTCCCGCTCACCGTCCGATGCCGGGCTGCGAGGAAGAGGACGAGAAATGAGGGTGGCTGAGCCGTTAGAGAGAAACAGAGGGAACACAGACGGGGGTGATGAGAGAGAGAGCGAGAGAGAGCGCAGGGCATCGAGGGGGGGGGGGAGAGAGGAAGGGATGCGAATGAGAATGAGAATGAGAATGAGCCACGAATGAGTTAGTGTTGCTCATCTCTAGCGACAATTAAAATATATCGTAAAAAAAGGTCGAAGCACTGGACCAACGCCAGATGAAGTTAGTGTGAGATGACAACGCTGAAAAAAAAGTCTTGATCGAAATTCTCCCTCCCCCGTAAAAGAGCGAAAAAAAAAGAGCAGAGCGCGTGGTGAAATACATGCCAAGCATAATGCAGCAGCCGTTCGTCGTGACATTGGTGTGGAAACTGTGGCTGAAGAACAAACGGCGTATTGATCAGTCGAATGAATTGTTCTTCTCTGTATATCGGAAGTGCTTGTTGTCCCCGATTCAAGTCCGTGGCAATAAAAAAACACAACCAACACAACACAGAAACACATCCATGCACACGTTTGGAAACGAATCGCCAAATGACACACACATGGAAACACCCAGTAACCGCTCACCTTAGTTTCGTGGAGCACTGAGAAAACATCGGGGAAAAGACCACTAGTTTGAATCTCCTTATTTTTTTTTTCTCTTGCTCAATATATCTTTCTCTCCTCTCTCTCTCTCGGTTTCCTCATCTTCTCTCAATGGCTGGGGCGAAAGAGAAGAGAGAGGAGAAATGAAGACGTGATAAGAATGCGCTCTCTCCCGCTCACACTCTCTCTGCTGATTCTGACTCTCTCCCCTTCTTTCTCGTCTGCCCCTTTTCTTCTGAGCACTTTGCTTAAAATGCAAGTCTTCGACTTCTACCCATCCACTTCCTCTTCTACCCCTTCCCTCCTCTCGGGTGAGCGCTCAACAGCAGCGTGCACGGATGAGAGAGAGACTGTTTTTTCTCGCGGTTTCAGGACCGTGTCTCTGTCCAGTGCAGCAAGAGTGAAAGTGTGTGGATCATATCGGCGATGGCTTGGTCATCAGCTTTTCTTTTTTTTTTTTTTTTTTTTTTTTTTTTTTTGTTTCTGTCTTTTGTCTTTCCAGTGGTTGTTTCCCTGTTGTGCGTCAGAAAAGTGAGGGACCGAGCATGGGGAGGTGGAGGTGGGATTAACGGGACAGGAGATGAGAAGGAGAGGAATGTGGCGATGAGAGGAGGAGGGAGGAAAAACGTGTGATAGGGACGGCTGCGCTGTAGTCCTGGGTGCTGTCAAAAGAAGTAGAGGAGGCGAAGTGAGGACAGGGGAGAGGAAGAGGAGCACTGGCCATCGCGGCTGAGGCGCGCGTCACGAGAAAAAAAACAAACAAAAAAACTTGGATCGAGCCGTGGAGGGTGGCTGAATAACAGACCTGTAGATGGCTGGCTGGATGCAAGGCTGTTCTCTGTCTTTTCTTATTGCATAATTATCACTATCTATTTTATATTGTTACTGGTGTTTTCTCGATGAATACACAAAAATTGTTTTCAGTTGTTATACTGAGGGATGCAGCCATATTTAAGAGGAGTACATCACCTCACCAATATCCATTTCCCACCGCTGTGGAGACAGAGGGTGGCCTCTACTCGGAACGTTTAAACTCTGAGTGCCTTCCCCTGTCTCGCCTCCAGCGGGCAACAGAAGCCCATGTTGTGAGCAGCCAGCTGAAATAGCTCTCTAGCAAGACAGAAACACATCGAAGATTACCCGTTGTTGCTTTCTTTAGATCGGGCCGATTAGAGTGAAGAGTTAAAATGTTCTTACAATTTTTCTTTTTACGATTGTAACGCAATTTAGTTTCCATCCATGATGATAACAGGTATATTTAAAGTAATCTCTCAGAGAATGTGAGTGCTAGGTGAGAAACAGCTGTTTAAAGGATTGTTGGGAGGCATTTTTATGCCTATAGGAACAACCTTACATGCAATTAAAAACAAAGACATTATAGTTTCCACTTGAATTATTTTTAAATTATCTCCTTGTATGAGTACGCAGTGTATCCTGATCATAGTCCTTCTTCAGATTTCACGTCAGATTAAAATTTCGAGTTTAAGGGACAACCTCATATGCCCAACATATAAAAGCTAAAGTATACTATCTGTGCTGTTTTATTAGTGTAATAGAAATTTTAACTTTGCAGGAGCACAACCTGTCCTGGTGGGTTTTAGGAGTCCCAAAGTCAAGGTATAAACGGTTGGGGTGATCAGGCTTTTGCAGTTGCTGCCCCAAGACTCTGGAACCAGTTATCCCCGGATATTCGCACTGTTACAGATATGGCTCTTTTCAGGTCCAAACTCAAAACAAATCTGTTCAGTCTGGCTTTTGTCAGTGGTCCAGCTCAGTCAGTGGTGCGACAATTTTATTATTTTGTTTCTTTTTAACCTTTTGTGATTTCACTGTTTTCTATGTTCACTCTTTTTAGTGTATGCCATGTTTTTACTCATTTTGTTAAGCACTTTGGATACCTGATGGTTGTCATAAAGTGCTATATAGATACATTTTGATTGATTGATTGATTGATTGATAGATTGAATGATTGATAACAATACATGCAGGCATTCGACTGCAAACTACTGTCTTCCTATCAAATATTATGACATAATTTGATTATTATTATTGTTTCCATTGTCTGGGTTGTGCTACAGTGACCTTCAAGTGAAAGTGATATCTAAATTGAATTAAATTAACCACACATGTTTGCGTATAAACAAACTCAGACACATTTTTTTTTCATGCCTATATTACTGGAATTCCATAAATGAGCTGTTTTCAGTTTTATAAATAAACAATACTTTGTGAAGTGAGGAAAACATTTAACCCCTTAAAGATGTTTGTGTTTTTTCACACATATGATATAAATAAGTAAAAAGAGAAGAGCACCACAAGCCAAACTTCTATCCTTAACAACAGTGTCCCAGTTGTAAGACTTTCTTTTGCCTCATGGAGCTCAGAAGATTTTTCAGTTGAAAATTTAAATCTTTTATCGAGTTTCTGTCTACAGGCCATCCCTCAAAACAAGTACTGCTTTCAACACAACATAAATGATAACAGGTGAATTCATATATACCTAAACAAATACATTTGGATTGTGTATTTACATAATACATTTTATGAAATTATGCAAATGTCCTGAATCAGCTTGTATTCCGATCACCACATCAAGTACACATAATCCTGAGTCACCGCACACCCACAAGCATAACACACTTGCTTACACATAGGCAGAGCTACACACTCAGAGTTTAGAGAAGAGTGTTAAGAAGCAGCTGGTGGTCTGCAAAGCTACTATTCTCCTCCATGAAGAGCCATCATTCACTTCTTCAGCATGTCAGCTACTGTCACACACGCTGACATGAGGCCAGTGCAAACCCTTCATTCAATTTACAGGACTTGGATTGGACAGAGACTGTCATTTTTGAAGCGGTACTACAGTATAAAGTACAGATTGAGGCTAATGAGATCTCCAGATAGAGTTTACACCATGAATGACATGGTAAAAGATGAACATCGATCACCTCCGCTTAGACGAATGTCATGTGAACCGCCAGCAAGCTAAAAGACCCGGACAGATATATACATTTATAAATATATACAGTATTTCTGACTAAAACTAATTCTAAACCTCGATTCAAGAAAACAAGAAGAGAAAAGTGATCGTCCTCTTTTTTATTGTTGTGTGGATTTTCTCAATAATAGATTGAGTACAATATAAGCGTTGTTGTGATAGTTCAAGGTTCACCTCTCAAAGGTTAAAAAGATAATAGTTCATGTTCATGAGTTACCATCTCAATTTTGAACTTATTCAAAGATCAGTTAATTTATTCTTTTTTTAGGTTAGAAGCAAGATAAAAAAGACTGAACTCAAAAAGGGGAAGAAATTATAGTGTATAGTATGTCAAGAAAATCATCCAATGATGAAAACATTTCCATCCATTTATTTTCTGTAACCACTTATTCTTAGATTGATCTCAAGGGAGTTTAACTCTGTTACAACTTTCATTGAGCAACAGGTGGGGCACACCCCCTAATTTTTATCAGTCCAACACAAGGCCACTCTGAGAAGAATAATTAAAGTCTCTGTCAGAGGAAGCCGGAGTACCCTGAGAGAACCCATGCATTAAAAGGAAACATGCAAACCTATATAGTTAAGGATTTTCATGGTCTGAGTTTTTTTTTTTTTACTAACCTTGAGCGGACATTTCATTTTACTGTTGGAGTCCTTTGCTGACAGAACTTAAAACTCCTTTAGATATTCATAAACAGGTAAGTCATTAGCAGCTTCTCACTTTTTACCTTCAGTTTGAACCAGTGTTGCAGCAGAGCGTTGGGGTTTGTTAAGCTCGACTGTGAGAGGTAGTTGTACAGCTGGGAATACCCTGGGACTGTGCTGGTAGTTTAATGAACAGAGTTATTTTGAAACTTGAGTTTGCATGTCCTCCCACTGTGGGTTTTCTCTCGTGGTACTCCCACCATCCAGAAACATGCATGTTAGGTTAATTGAAATTCCCCTTACGTGTGATTATGATTGTGTGTGGTGTCTCTGTGCGGCCTTACGATGGACTGGCGACCTGTTTTGGGTGTAGCCTGCCTCTTGCCTGTTTTCAGCTGGGATAAGCTCCAGCCCTTCGTGACCCCATCGTAAATGAGCGGTATAGAAAATGGATGGATGGATTTCGAAACTTCAATTTGTTGTCTGTACCTTGAGAACAATCAAACTGAAGAAAGGAAGAAAATCCCCCAAAATGTCGGTTTCCCCTGAAAACTTTTCTTTCCTTTTTCAGCCGTCGCCTTTGAAAACTTTCCATTACTCCTTGTCAACAGAGGTTTCAGTCACATGCCTTGTGTCACCAGTGTAGGTCCTCTGCAGACCCCGGAGGATGGTGGGAGGCACAGTTAAATAATTCCCTTTCCTCCGTTCTGTCCATCTGTCTGTCACCTCTCCTGTCAGGCTGCCTGACTTCTGAAATCAGTGTAACCAATATGTCACTAACCTCCCTTTGTGCTGTACACTTACAACCTCACATGGTTGCCCACCAGCCAGACCTCCTGCCTGCCTGCCAGTCTCTGTACCTGATGTCCTGACTGTATGGCTGACTGGCTGCCCACTCCTACGTCCGCCTGTCTGAGCAGGCGTGTCTACCTGCCCAGAAGCCTTTCAATGTTCCCGGCTGTCTCACACTTTTCCATTTACTTAAGCCAGCAAAACTGTGTCCTGGTCTTAAGTTTCTGATAAGATGCAGACCAAGAAATACATGTTTATTCTAACAAATGAAGATTTGGATGGGAAAAATATATATGTTTTGCATCGTTTGAGACCATGTAGTCTAAACGGAAGTCTCGGCAATCACATCATTTACATTCTTATATTCATAAGAATATCAGTGATGCTTATACTCATACTCATAATTATATTCAGGGAAAAACAAATAAGACTTTTAGTTGAGTCATTATTTGTTCAATATTTTATCGGTGTCAAAAAGACTGGATGTAATACTTGATTGGCAGCCATTCCGGAATAAGCTCTGGATAAGACTATGTGGAGGATGAGAAAATACGTAGCTGCATTTATTTTAAAAGTTAATTGTTGCAGTTCAGGGCCTGGATTATGTGAAATGTCTATATTTTTCTATCCTGGCTCTGACTTTAAGTTTTGGCTGTGTTGAGGTTCGACGCAAAACAGAAATCAGAAACAGATTCTATGTGTGTATCAGTATATTCAGTCTTTTACTTGGTATAAAGTTTTTAATGTTTCTTTTAGGGCACTTTTCATGGGATTAGTCACAATAAATTAATGGAGGATACCAAATGAGCTGCAAGTTTTCCAAGTGAAACAGCCATGAAAGTCGTGTTCATGCTTGCCAATGCAGCTAACAACGGTGCTCTGTAAAGCACTTCTTATGACTATGACTGCTTCTGCAGGGGATTTAGACATCAGACATAATTTTCAAGTCTTTTCTTTAAGAGTTTATATATTCCTCACAGGAATGAAGGAGG